TAAAATGGGGGAACTTCCTGTGGGGACCAGCACTTGAACCCTGTGGTTGAGCTAAATTGCTACTTTGCTGCTGATTCCCTGGGGAAGGCTTTTTGTGCGGTTCCGGTTTTAATTTTTGGCCTTGTAAGCACTACCGGGTCTGGTACACCTGGATTATGTGGAAACTCTGGTCTGGGCCTGCATCTTTTCAGCAATCTGCACCCGCTGCAGTTCTATATTCCTGACCAGTCTCCACTGAGTGGTCCTGTGCTGACTGGGGGTGCAGATCAGCTGTCCTTGCTGTGCCCCAGTGTTCCCCCGGTGGGAACCATCGCCTGCACCATCCATACTCCAAACACTTCCCATGGGGCCAGCTGTGCACTGGTCCCTTGAGATGACTCACCGGCCTCTGAGTGGCTCCTTTTCTGTTATTGTAGCTCCTCACTACTATGTGGGTCCATGGGAACCCTATTAATCTTGCTGGACTGGGGGCCACCAAGGCCTTCTTCTTCCCTGCTGCCTCCAAGGAACATCACACAAAGGGCACAGCTGTGGCTTTTTCCAGTTCTTGCTCCATGCGCTCACCAGCTCCAGCCTTGAAGTGGTTGGGGCTCGAAATGGGGGAAGCAATCCTTTCTTTCTCTCCTTGTGGCTTCTCCTGCCTTCATGTAGTCCATAGGTCTTTTCTCCTTTTCCCCTGAGCTCTAGTGGCCCCAGATTGGCTGTCGTTGCTTTTTAATAGTTGTAAATTGGTTGATTTATGGGAGAAAGTGACAATGGGGACTGTCTATTCCACTATCTTGGCCAGAAGCCCTGGCTCTCCATTCTTGACTGGACCCACCTAACCACTTACCTGGCCTTCAAGGCCTTCCATGGCCTAGCCCTGCCCATGAGTCCCTGCAGGCCCAGCCATTCCCACCTTTCCCAGCCCTGTTTGACACTGTCTTCTCCACCCAGGACTCCCTTTCCAGCCATCTGTGCTTGCTAAGCGCCACCTGCTTGGAATCCCAACTCAACTTAAATTGTCTCTTCCTGTGGCCTTACAAACTTTCTAAGCTCTGTGGCCAGAAGTGGCCTTCCTCCTTCCCTCCCAAACCCCAGAGCATTTTATCTGCCCTCTCAAAAGGACATTCATCCTTTTAGCCACCCCGAGAAAACTCTCCTACTTCCAATCCCACATGTGCGGGGAATATTGACTTACCTTTGTGTGGGGGGGTGAGATTTACTTACTAGTATGAAAATAACATATGTGTGGTTAAAAAAAAAAATTCTGCTTTACAAAGGGTATAGATACAATGGAAAATGGGTTTTCCTTCCCTCGGCCTCTCCCATCCTATTTCACAAGAAGTAACCATCTTCCATAGTTTCTTGTGCGTCCTTTCAGAATTTTCCCGTGCATATATGCATACATACCCACGTACATAATTTCTCTTTTAAATGTTTCACAAAAAGGATCACATGATTACATGTTCTGCACACACTTCTTTCTCTTTCAAGCTCCTTCTCTTCCTTTCTTTTTTTTTTTTTTAAAGATGACTGGTAAGGGGATCTTAACCCTTGGCTTAGTGTTGTCAGCACCACGCTCACCCAAGTGAGTGAACCAGCCATCCCTATACAGGGATCTGAACCCGTGGCCTTGGTGTTGTCAGTACCGCACTCTCCCGAGTGAGCCATGGGCCAGCCCTAAGCGCCTTCTCTTTCAAGCCTGAGCTTCGCGTTCATTTTAACAGCTGCTGCTAGTGTTCTGATATAGGGAGGGATCGAACCTCATTAGCCACCCCCATCCATGGCCTCGTACATTGTTCCCCACTTTTTCTTATTAGAGACATCCTTCACCTCTGTGTCTCCTTTCCTGCCCCCTACCCCCAGCCAGCCCCTCACACAGTGGTGGTTGAGCGACGGACCCACCAGCTGATGTAGGGGGCAGGAGGCCTTAATTCTTCCATATTGCCCCTGCAGCAGCTGAAGGGCCGGGTCCTGGTAAAAGGGAAGAAGCTTCCAGCTGCTCGGAGCGAGGATGGCCGGACTTTGTTGGACTGGGAGTTGGAAGAGGAAGAGGAGGAGGACGAAGAGGAGGTGGAGGCTGCAGAGCAGAGGCGGCGGGTACGTGACCTGCAGGGCTGGCCAGGCTGGGCAGGGGCTCGGTATTACTGCAGAGTTTGCGGCGGGCGGGGCGGGGAGGGAAGGAAGGTGGGAGAGCTGGGGGGGCTGGAGCCAGCAGTCCCCACTGAGGCCGGTCTCCCAGGCCAAGCAGATCTCTCCAGAGCTGTCTTCCCTGGCCGTGTACTGCTGCGCTGCCCGCCTGCAGACCCTGTGCCCTGGCCCCGGCCCCCGCCAGCCCTGCCAGGTCAGCTCCGTCAGTGAGCGCAAGGCCAAGAAGCTCATCCGAGAGGCAGGTAGGAGCTGGGACATGGGGCATCGGGGTGCAGGAGAGTGGAAGGGGCCTGCAGGCTTCTGTTGGAGTATCCTAAAGTTGGTGTGGAAAGGAGATTGAAAGGACTTTGGAGGGGGGTAGGGGGGAGTAAAGAGATCAGGAGGACCCTAGAGAGGGATCAGCTCAAAAGGATCAGCTCATGGGAGGATGGCCCAGCACATGCCAGCGCCAGGTCAGGTATGGCTGGAGAGACGAGCCACAGGGAGGAGGGAGGCCTGCTGTCTGCCTTCATAGGGCTCATGTCCTAGTGGCAGGGCTGCCATAGATGGGCAGGCCATGATGTGGGCCGGGAGAGCCCAGCAGATGGTGGTGAGATCAGGGAAGGGTTCCTGGAGCAGGTGATACCTGGGAGGACACATCACCTGAAAGATGAGGAGGAAGCAGACCGCTGAGGAAGAGGAAAGGATTTCCAGATAGGAGGAAGAGGTTGTGCAAAGGCCTGGAGGCATGGCCTCCGGGAAGGGTTCCAGGGACCCACAGTGTGGCTGGAGGGATGTGGGCAGGACAGGTAGTAAGTGGCAGGAAATGGCAGCCTGGGGCCAGCTCACCTGTGCACTGAGTCAGGAATACGGGGGCTCAGGGCTGGGGATGCAAGGCCGGGCTCTGTGGTGGAGGGTCCCTGCCCCACTCTGGACTTTAGCATCCTGCTCTGAGTCCCTCTCACCCTAGGTCAGAGGAGAGTGAGGAGCTGGGCAGGGGGTCTCATCCGAGAGGCAGGTAGGAGCTGGGACATGGGGCATCGGGGTGCAGGAGAGTGGAAGGGGCCTGCAGGCTTCTGTTGGAGTATCCTAAAGTTGGTGTGGAAAGGAGATTGAAAGGACTTTGGAGGGGGGTAGGGGGGAGTAAAGAGATCAGGAGGACCCTAGAGAGGGATCAGCTCAAAAGGATCAGCTCATGGGAGGATGGCCCAGCACATGCCAGCGCCAGGTCAGGTATGGCTGGAGAGACGAGCCACAGGGAGGAGGGAGGCCTGCTGTCTGCCTTCATAGGGCTCATGTCCTAGTGGCAGGGCTGCCATAGATGGGCAGGCCATGATGTGGGCCGGGAGAGCCCAGCAGATGGTGGTGAGATCAGGGAAGGGTTCCTGGAGCAGGTGATACCTGGGAGGACACATCACCTGAAAGATGAGGAGGAAGCAGACCGCTGAGGAAGAGGAAAGGATTTCCAGATAGGAGGAAGAGGTTGTGCAAAGGCCTGGAGGCATGGCCTCCGGGAAGGGTTCCAGGGACCCACAGTGTGGCTGGAGGGATGTGGGCAGGACAGGTAGTAAGTGGCAGGAAATGGCAGCCTGGGGCCAGCTCACCTGTGCACTGAGTCAGGAATACGGGGGCTCAGGGCTGGGGATGCAAGGCCGGGCTCTGTGGTGGAGGGTCCCTGCCCCACTCTGGACTTTAGCATCCTGCTCTGAGTCCCTCTCACCCTAGGTCAGAGGAGAGTGAGGAGCTGGGCAGGGGGTCCCCAGGAGGTTACAGGCCCTGCACTGGGCAGGGGACACACCAGGGGCATGTTACAGTCCCCACCCTACTCTTCCTCAGGGAACAGCTTTGTCAGGCACAATGTTCACCATCTGACTCGTGTGTACCCGCTGGGGCTGCGGATGAACTCGGCCAACTACAGCCCCCAGGAGATGTGGAACTCGGGCTGTCAGCTGGGTGAGTAGGGCCGCAGGAGGGGACAGGGTGTTGCCATGTGGGTGGACTCTGGGCGGCCACGGGAGGCCTCAGCAGTGAGGGAGCCACATAGCCTTCCAGAAAAATGCAGTGTTGAGGATCATTATTAAAAAGTTGTCAGCAATGTAGGTGGGGAAGTCAATCAGGCTTCTGTGTTCCCGACAGTGTAAAAGTCTCACATTTTTATGAAGTTAGAAATTAAAAAACTCCACTCCCATGTGCCCCTGACACACACACATACCTGGCAGTCCCACTAAGTCAACGCTGACAAGGGTGGGCTCTGGGGGACTCTGGGCACTGCCAACAGAGGGCCATATAGTCCCTTTAGGGTAGGTATGGAAACCCCAGGCTCTCTCAGGCCCCTGCTCTGACCCAGGCCAGGGCCTGGCCCTGGGGGCGGGGGCTTCTCCAGCATCTTTCATCCCTCTAGCCTGAGGGATACCAGGGATAAGGTACAGATGACAGTTGGGCCTGGGTCCCCTGGCTGCAGTGACACCTCTGCCCACAAGTCATGGTGGGGACAAGGCGGCACTAGCCAGACAATAGGACCCTGGGCCTCTGTTGAGAGGAGCTAAGTCCTCCCTCCAACAAGATCTGTCCCCTGAGCCTGAGCAGTGAGCCCTGCTCTGCCCCTGCTATGTCCACAGTGGCCCTGAACTTCCAGACACCAGGCTACGAGATGGATCTCAATGCTGGGCGCTTCCTCATCAACGGGCAATGCGGATACGTCCTGAAACCTGCCTGCCTGCAGCAACCTGACACAGCCTTTGACCCTGAGTGCCCTGGGCCCCCCAGAACTACTCTCACCATCCAGGTCAGCAGCCTGGACCAAGCCCTAGCCTGGGGGCGGAGCTAGTTCTGGGAAGGTGCCCGCCTGAGGTGGAGGAAGGTGGGGGAGGCCTGGGGACAGGCTGGTGTGAGGACGGTCTGAGTCTGAGGCCCATTCAGGGAGAGGAGAGGGGGGCATGGGCCCCAGCAGAGGCCAGGCCGAAGCTGCCCTTCCTCCCTTTCTCAGGTGCTGACTGCACAGCAGTTGCCCAAACTGAATGCTGAGAAGCCAAACTCCATCGTGGACCCCCTGGTGCGCATTGAGATCCATGGGGTGCCTGCAGACTGTGCACGGAAGGAGACCAACTACGTGCTTAACAATGGTGGGGGGCCCACTGGTGGAAATGGGGCGGGGGGCACAGGTGGGTCTTGGGGCCAGCTGGGCTCTGACTGCCATGCCTGTGCCGCAGGCTTCAATCCCTGCTGGGGGCAGACCCTGCAGTTCCAGCTGCGGGCTCCAGAGCTGGTGCTGGTTCGGTTTGTGGTAGAAGATTATGATACCACCTCCCCCAATGACTTTGTGGGCCAGTTTACGCTGCCTCTCAACAGCCTGAAGCAAGGTTGGTGGTTGGTGAGGATGGAAAGGGATGGGGGTCCCGTCCTCTCAGACCCTGTTCATCTTTGTGCCGCTGAGAGCCTGCCCTGAACCAGGTCTGAGCTGAGGCCCAGCCCCCAGGGGTGGGATGTGGTCTGCGTTCTGTAGGATGGTGGGCAGAGGACCTGAAGCCCAACTGCCCTTCCCACAGGGTACCGCCATGTCCACCTGCTTTCCAAGGATGGGGCCTCGCTGTCACCAGCCACACTCTTTGTCCACATCCGCATCCAGTACTCCTGAGGGCTCAACTGACCCACCCTGGGGTTCTGCGGTGCCAGTCTGCATCCCCCTGCAGAGCCTCTCCTGCTATGGAGTGGAGGGGGGTGGGCGTACTTGGCCTGCTCACTAGGTGCTATCTCACCTGGGTGCTGAGGGCTGCCTTGGGCCCTCCTAAAGGACAGATGCGTGATGTGTTCCCTGCAGAGCTGCTAATGTGACTTCAGTGAGCTCCAACCTGGGGCCTTGAGATGGCCCCAGCCCACCTCCTCATCATGGCTCATGAAGAAGAGCCAGGCCTGTTGCTGCCAAGAGACTTTGGGAACAAGACACCTGTGAGCCTTCAGCTCCTCTGCCCCATGCCCTCCAGCAGGGCCATCCCAGCCTCCTTCCCCCAGAGAGCACAGCCACCCACCCTTGCCCCCATCCTGGGCACTAGCCAGCCCCAGGCCCTCCCTTACCCCCAGTTCTTGAACCTGAGCTCCTCTTCCCTTCTCAAAGAATAGAGCGCTAAGGCTCGGCGCCCTGGGGAACTCTGACAGTAAGTAGGTTTTTAACTTGTGTCATAGAAGAGCCCTGAAGGGGCAGTAGACTAAGACTATCTATTTTTTTTTGTCTTTTTCTGTGTCCGGCAATGGATCGCAACCCTCAGTGTCGCCCCCGCACCGGACCGGGACCGGCAACGGGACCGCAACCCCCGGCGCTGCTCCCGCGCCTCGCTCAGCCAGTGAGCGGGAACCGGTCTGTATGTGGGATCCGAACCCTCGGGCTGGAGCGCCACCGCGCTTCCCAAGCGGCGCACTATCCAGTGCGCCACCGGGCCGGTCCAAGACTATCTATTTTAAAAAATAAAAAAAGCAAGTTTATTTTACCACTGCCACCACTGAGCACGTCTGTGATGCCACACTCACAAGCCCACGAGGAGGGACCAGGGCTGGAGCGAGAGTCCCTTGGGCCTCTTCCCCCAGCAGGGCTTGGATTTGCCTGAGACCGTCGGGGTGGCCGGAGGAGATGCCACAGCTCAAAATAGCCCTGATCTGCTCCTGGCTTAAAGCTGCTGCCAGCAGCACAAGACTCTTTGAGGACACCAGTTTATAAGGTCAGCGCCCGCCCCCCTCCACCGCTCCATACGCACATGGTGGACCTTGCATGGGGAGGAGCAGGACTCTGAGGGTCTCTCAGACAGACCCCCATTTTCCAGGCTCATCTGGGTTCAAGGCCCCTGTCTGCTGAGTAGGGCAGATCCCAAAGACTTGGGACTTCAGCTCTACCAAGCAATCAGCTTTTTATTTAAAAATTTTTTGACAGCTGGCCAGGACAGGGATCAACTCTGGACCTTGGTGTTATCAGCACCATGCTTTAACTGAGTGAGCTAACCAGCCGGCCCCAACCAGCCAGCCCCAACCAGCCTTTTAGACGAAGGCCTGGAAAACAGCGGCCTCTATAGAAATGCTGGGAGAGAATGCTGGGACACCTGATGACAGAATCCAGGGAAAGCCAAAGGCCTAAACCTGTCAGAAAGGTGACATTATGGGGCAAAATATGGAGGCCTGGCATTTTAGATTCCATCAGGCAACAGCACTGGCACTGCATGAGGGCAGAGCTTGACGGCAGTTCCCAGAAGCTGGCCTGGGATTGGACTGGGTTAGGCCTTGAATGGGTCCCAAGCCCCAGAGGAACCAAAACCTAGGGCCGGGGCAGTCTCCACCTTCTTGTAACCCTGTGGTCTGATACAGGAAGTGCCAGCCTCCCCTGCTCCTGGTTCATGCTAGCAGTGGCATTTGGGTCTGATGAATTCGTGTGTTTGAACAAGGATGATCGGAATCTAAGGGGCCCAGAAGGAACGGGCCAGGCCACGCAGGCACCTGATACTCAGGGGCTGTGCGGAGGGGAGGGCCAGGCAGCCAGACTGCAGCCCTCCGGGGTGGCCGAGTCCAGTTTTAGTGTCTGATGAGCAAGTAGAGTTGTCCAGCCCCTGTAAGGCCTGCCTGGGGGTCCTGTCAAGTGAGCACCAGCCCCAGGACGGAGCCCCCTGTCCTGCTTCTCTCCTCTGATTTGGTGCAGCAAGAGGAAGGGCTAGGAAGAGTCCAAAGCTAGGAAGCCTGCCTTGAAAGGGCAAGTCTTAAGGCTAGGAAGTTGATAGGAACTGAATATGCAAGGTGGGAGCAAAGGAGAAATCCCAGCTTTTCACCCTAGAGGTCCCTAGGTGGAGGCCACCCACAGGGCTGTGTGCTCCCAGCCCAAGGCTATGGGCGGGGAGCGAGGCATGAGTCTGAGCCAGAGTAACCTGGTGTGGGGCAAGAATGGGGTGAAGGCACAGGGAACCTCTCAGGTACCCTGTAAAGAGGCCAGGAGGCACCAGCCAGGGGGAGCCTGAAAGGACCACAGGGTCAGGGAATGCAGAAGTGCCGCAGAATGAGACAGGGGAATGGCAAGTCTAAATGCAGCTATTGAGGCCCAACAATCTGCCATGTTAAAAAGCATCCCTGGTGGCTCAGGACCACCCAGATGGTGGCGGGGAGGGGGGGATCAACATCTGGACCCATTGCGGTGCCCGCACCCTCCAACAGAGGAGCCCCTGCTGACCTGGAGAAGCCCAGGACCAGCTCCTCTGCCCAGGCGTTCAGCTGTTGGCTCGGAGCCCGGCTGCTCGCTCCTCTTACACGGCATGAACCGGGTCAGCACCGGCTCCTCCCTGGCAGGTGGGAAAGGTTGGGGGAAAAGAGCCAAGTCTGCCCTGAAAGAAGGACAGCCTTGCCAAAGGTCTTCCAAAGTTGGCCAGGAACTGTTGCCCACGGTCTAGCCCAGCCCCCAGCTGCCACCTTCTGACCAGAGGAATACCACCAGGAGGGCAGAATGGTTTGTTCAGCTGCTTCCTTTATTAGAAACAAGTGAGATGTACTGAGCAGAACAACAATGCATTTGGTATTTCCTCCCCCGCCCTGGAAATGGATGCCCCCCCTACAGCCCAAGGAATAGCCGAGACAAAAAGATGAAGCTTCCCCACTCCCTGTTCCAAGACGCAGCACTTGTGTGCCAGTCAGTCATTATTTTTGAATTTAATCGAATGATATTATCCTAAACAGCCTCCCTAGGTGAAGCCTGTTTGCTGGCCTGCCTTTACTTTGCAGCAGGGCAAAACTGAAGGCTTGGGTCTCCTCTGCTTCTGGGGCAGGTGGGCTAGGCCACAAGAAGGCTGCCCCACGTGGGTAGGCACTGACCAGAAAGACACTCCTGACCCCCTCCCCTAGCCCAACAGTCCCTCTCCCTCACCTAGACCACAGCTCCACGAAGCTGGCCAAGGCCTTAGGTGGGGTAAACGCTGATTGCCTTTGGGGAAAGAATTCAAGACCACGGGGACACCCACCTTTGGGCATCAGAGAGCCAGCAAGTAAGGGGGGCAATGGCAGTTAGAAGAGAGTTGCAGGCAAGGCCTGAAATTTTCCATTAACCTGGGTATTGAAGTGGCTTGGTGTGGGCTGGCCTTTAAACAACACATCAGCATCTTCGGAAATAGGTATGGGTGGGGAAGACGAGCACTATGTGGGCCTCAATCGGGAGCTAAGGCCTCCTTTCTATCCAGCTCTCTCCCTACACAGAGACCAGAGAACATGGTCAAATTCAGTCAATCCAAAGGCAGGAGGTGAAGGTCATTTTCAAAACAAGGCAGCCGGGACTGTGTGGCAGAGGGTGGGGGCCAGGCCTGGAGAGGCATTCCAACAGCGGCTGCCTGAGGTGGGTCAGCTTGGAGGCCCCGAGGTCCTTCCCTTGTTTGGTTCAATCCAGTCATGGTGCCACCATCCTGCAAGGCTCCTGTGCAGAGCCGTGAACCCCATGATAATGGTCTCTGAGCTTTCAGTCCTGAAGTCCTGGAAGGGCTGAGTGAAGAACCCAGGGAGCGTCAGGACAAAAGAGACTAACAGCAGCCCCTGAGCCGACTCATGCAGATCCAGATGAGGCAGGGCCCCCACCGTGAGATAACAGCAGAGTCCAAGGAGCAGGCCACCTTGTAAGGAAGACGCTGGGGCCTTTGCGAGGAGATGTTTCTTCCAGAGCAGCCACAAGGGCCTCACTGTTGCCATTCCATGACCTCGGTCAACCAAAGCAAAGCTCGCTCCAGAGATCTGTGCATCCCAAATCTCAGAGGCAGCTCGAGCCGGGACCTGGGCCTGGACTAATCAAGACTAGGACAGGGAGCCTTTCCAAGTTCCAGGGCCCGCCCATAGTAGGAAAGACATGGGCACTTTGTTCTTTGATATCCTCTAAGGTCTGGACAAGGTAAGCTGCTCTGGGACGTGCAGTGCCATGTGTCTGAGGTCTATGCATCCATAAAGGTGAGCCCTTGCTTCTCCGACTCCTCCCGTCTACGGAATGCGGTGTGTTCTTGTTTAGAACAGCAGTTTCTTTGGTCTGGGTATCTTGGAGTCAAGGAGTCAAAGGTCAGCCATGATTGCTGGTGCCCGCAGTTTGCAGTATAGGAATGATGGGGAGAAGGGAGGCCCTTAGCAGCCTCTGATGCAAACCCACTTGCTGGCTCCAGCAGCAGTCTGCAGAGAGCAGGCAGCATTCCCATGCGGGGCACAGCCCCCACCCCAAGCATTCCATTTCCTCCAGCTTTGGGGACTCCACAGTATCAGCCTCTGACAAACCATATCAAAACCCACAGCCTGAAACAAACCCCGGCTGATCCACACAAAGTGGCTTCAGTTAGTGAGACCAGGCTGAACCTGGCCTCCAGCTGAGGTTTCATCCCCCTCCAAGAAGCCGCGAGGTGAAAGCAGCAAGGAAAGCCCCATGCCACATGGTATGCTCCCCGCCCATTTGCTTCCTCCTACAGCAGAAGTCACATACGAGCCTGGATGCGGGTTGCTGACAATCCACACCTAATCCTCCCCAGGCCACTTGGCTGAACACAATTGACAAATGCCTACATAGACAGCCATGTGACCAGAGGCCTCATTACTTTTTGGGAAACTGGCAGCATCAATAACCATCACTACCACCACAAAAATCCACAAAACAGCAACAGTGAAAGTCAGACTCAAGAAACTGGGCAATGTGAAATCCTTTCTGTTGCCAAGTCCAGATCTGCCTCCAGTCACCACTTGTTGCTGCCACGTGTAGGCTGTGTCTTGGAAGAGGGCACAATAAGAAAGAGCTAATGGGTTGCAAGGCACAGGCCAGGGGCTGGTGGCTGAAGGGGTCTGGGTACTGGCCCCATGTCATCCCTGCCCAGCCACCCTGAGGACATCAGGGTGCTGGCTCCTTGCTCTAAGATGAACTAAGCAGACCTTGCACTAATACTGTCTTTACAAGGTCCCAGATGCTACAAGGAGGTCCAAGGTCCCCTTCAAACTGCCAGTCACTCCAGGCAGTGGAAAAGCAAAATCTCGCAGGGACTTGTCCCTATAAGGTTGGCAACAGCTGGCCAAAGAGCCTGTTTTAAATCAGTTGGCAAGATGACCACCTACTGGGAGCAGGCCAAGTGGATAGAAGAAGGGACCTGATTAATAAAATTGCCTTCCATGGATTGTCCCTGATGCTCAGTCTCAGAACACAGAAAAGGTCTGACCCATGCAGGAAAGTCCCTGCTGCAGGTAAGCCCCATCCAGGAGGCTCCATCTGCCATTCTATGAGACCTGAGCCCTCTCCAGAGGCCAGCAGAGTCCCTCCACCTTCCTTCTCAAAGCCAGTCTGTTCCAGCTAATTTGGAAGGGGAACTGCATGAGGTTCCCCAGATCCTCTCTCTCTTGCTCCCCCAAGAAAAGCCAATGCCTCCTTTTGAAGGAAACAATGAACTGCATCAATACATGTGTCTGTTTGCCACTGTCCTTGGGTTCTAATTTTGAGGAATGATCTGGATTCAGCTTTTCATTAGAGACCAAACATCCTTGTACATTTGGAACATGAAAGATATTTAAAATATTTATATATATATAATATATATATATACTTTTATTATTCACCCGTTAACTCCATAATATGCCAATCACGAGCTAGTTTTCAGCAGTTACATTCCCTTGATCACGGCTGCATGAGGATGCGATTAATAGGAAAACAGGGAGACCAGAGACACAGCCAGAGGTGACATCACGCAGCCTACGCCATTGCAATACAATTGTCAAGTTCGCTGGCGGTTTGGTAAAGCCAATTCAGTCCTGTTCCCTTTGCCAGGGATTCTCACATTTGTGAAAATTGGACCAACAAGTGGTGGGGTTCCATTTCCTGGTGTGAATTCTCAGTGGCTTTATCCAGAGTCTCACTGGCAACTGGTTACTGTAATACCAGACCAACCTAGGGAAGCCAATGGAAGCAGAGTTGAGTTGACAGTTGCCCAGACTCTCCCCTTTCCCCACCCAGCCCTCAAGTTCCACCGGCTGAGCCTGTAGAACACCCCATGCAGCGTGAGCAGACTCACGCCAAGCCGGGCCTCTGCGCCAGGGTTTACACGCTATCAGATCCTTCAAGGCACAGGAGGTCGGCATCCTGAGGAAAACTGGCCCAAAGGCCACCCTCCAGTTCAGCTATCAGTGTTCAGTAAATGCTGACTACACCCACGCCCCTGGGCTGCCCTGTGGGCCTGGGGGAGGAAAGGCTAAGGCAATGTCGTACTGGGATGAGGGTGGCAGTCCACGAGAGGAAACACTCCTCAGACACTAACCTCCTCCCCAACCATGGGCCACTCAACTTCCACGTCTCCCCAGATGCGCAGAATGCCCTGCCCTGGCCAGATGAGGCGGCTCCACTGATGGGAAGAGAAGCTGGAGACGACCTTCCTGCTCCTGCGTGGCCTGGGCCTGGCCCCTCTCCCATTCTCACACCAGTTGCTGAAGAGGGAACACTGGCCTGCTGATCTGGCCATCAGAGGGAGGGGATTATTCAAGGGCCTGAACTGATGCTGTATCCCAGATCCACAGCCCTGTTTCTGGTGGAGACACCAGGGCCCTGACGTGGCAGGCCCAAACTCCAGCTGCACATGGCACGTACCTTCTCTGCCCCCATGCTGGGGCATTTCCAGTTGTAAAGGTAATACTGCAGGTTGCCGTCTCCTATGCCAAACTTGAGTTTCTCCAGAAAGGTTTTGTTCTCCATGAGATCCAGTGCATTGAACACATCAAACCCTTTCTGCAGGGTGGCAAGGAGAAACAAGAACAGGTGAGGCCAGTGAAGATTGTCCCTTCCTGCCCACCTTGGCTATCAAATCAAAAGTGTTCTACAGGCAGCCACAAGATCAAGGTTCCTGCAGAAGCTCCAGCTGCTTCTGTGTTAAATCCAAACTCCGGCCAGTGCCCAGCTCACCAGCTGCAGTTCTCAGGACACTCTGAGTGCCACCCCTCCAACCTGGCTTCTCAGTGGCCCTCTAAGTATACACTGATGTACTCAGTGTCCAGGCCCCTGCTCCTGCTGTTCCTTGTTACCCCTCCCTGAAACACTCCGGTCATTTCCACAGTCCTCTCTGGATACCAAGCCCTGAGCCCTCCCTCAGAGAAGCTGGCTCCTGTCAGCTCCTCGCACTTGGGTGGCTTCCTTACTCCGGGGACACCCCGACACGCTCAGGCCCTGGCTGTGCACCATGTGATGCAGGATACCTCATATGCTGCTTTGAGACTGATGAAGACACTTACTAGGGTGCTCGCAGGGCAGGGAACGGCCTGTGCACAGTGGGTTGGCCGGGTGCAGGGGCACCAGAACCGTGCAATGAAGGGCCGACTGCTGACCTCTCCACCCCAGGCTCTGCAGTCAGACACTCCAGTGACTCACCAAGACAGGGACCAGTCTCCCCGTTCCCACACTGGGAAAGCTGTGAGGAAAAGCCCTGTCTTCCCAGAGCAGGCCTGGCTATTCAGGTTCCTTGGCGGCACCTCCTGTGAGAACGAAACTCACTGAAATAAATCAGGAGGAGTTCAGTGCCTTCATTTTGTTTGGACTCTCCTTGCTCCCTCCTACTTTTTTGAGTTTTTGGCTGAAATTGCTGGGACCCTACCAAAGCGGAGCAGGAGAGGAGGAGGACTCCAAGCCTCCCATCCCATGGACAGCACCTCCCGGGAGCTGTGCTCACCGCCACTCCACTGCCCCTTCCCCCACAGGTCTCCAGAGACCCTCTGCTCTGCCTCTTACCATTTTGGCGAGAACAAGGGCGTCACTCATGAGGTCTAGAAGAGGAGTCTGGGTGTGAACATTGTAGAAGGAATAAGCAGCTTTGAGACTCTTGTGGGTTGGATGGTTCATGATGGTGGAGGGAAGCGTATAGAAGCTCAGGAAATCCGTCACCTCACCATTTGCATTCTGAAGGGAAGACAACAGAAAGAGGCAATGTCACGCATGTACAGACACTGCAGCCTGGGAACAAAGTGTCTTCTATTCCTTTCATGCCACCTTCAGCAGCTCTGCCCCTCCAGGTGAATGAGCAGGAACTGAGACAGGATATGAGGGAGGAAACACACTGGCTAAGAGTAAATGAGGACAGAGCCAGGCTGGACTGTGGCCTGAACCTGTCCAGCCCCCTTTCCCTGCCTGGGCATCACCAAGAACTCTTCTTGTGGCTCCCATCCCCCCAGACTGTGTCTCTTATGTCTGGCCAGCACTAGATTAAGCTGGGACAGGCAGGGAATCAAAGGCTTATCTGACTACGAGGGGCTCAGTTCTCTCTACTCTGTGTAATCAAAGGTGGGTGGGGTAGGGGACAAGGGCTCCAGCCAAGTCCCTGTCTTTAGGGAGGACCAAACATGGATGATCAGGGAAGTGCAGGGCGCCAACACTACGCCCTGGCACCCAGCCACTTCAGGAGGACACCTCTCCAGAATGAGTCCCCGACTCACCTCCACCACGAAAGTATCGATGATATTCTCCTGGGGGTAGAACCAGTGCTCCACCTCCTCCTGGCTCATGATGGGCGTGAGGTGAAACTGCTTCAAGTACCTGGTGAGGAGCTGGTGCACTACTGGAATGTCTTTTTTTTCCATTGGTCGCAGCCCAGCTGTCTTAGGAGTCTGGAAGGAAGACAGCAGAGATGGCATCAGATGTGCTGGTCACCCTGGATCTATCCACCCAGGTCCTCAAGAGAGAATCCTCCGTCCTCCTCAGGAACTCGCGCCTGCTCCGTGTGCATTTCCTTGGGCACAGGCCAGCCTCTTCAGTGCCTTTCTGCCCTTTCCCTGCTGGCTGAGGCCGGCACCCAGGTTAAGGCTGTTGCCTCCATCTCTGGTCCCAGGCTGTCTTCCTAACAACCCCTCATGCCCCTCGTGTGGGCCAGCTGGCCATTCTAGCTAAACCTTCTGTCCACCTAGCCCAGTGGTTCTCAAAGGAGACAATTTTGCCTCCCAGGGGACATTTGACAATATTTGGACACATTTTTGGTTGTCACAACTGGGGGAGGAGACTACTGATCTCTGGGGGGTAGAAGCCAGGGATGCTGCTAAATATCCTACAATGCACAGGACAGCCCCCATGATAAAGAATGATCTGGTTCAAAATGCGAGCGGTGCCGTGACTGAAACCTTGTCCCCCCTTGAAGCCCTTCCCATGACCTTCCTCAGCCCAGCACAGTGCTACTGCTGGGGCTCAACAAAGCCTTTGCGAACTCCTTTCCTCTGAGCCCTCACAGCCTTCTCACACTGAACTGTAGCTGAATCTTCCAAAACGCACTGGTCTCTCTCCACTTCACAGACAGACCCCAGGGCCCAGCCAGCATATGCAGATGCACGCCTTGTTTGTCCACTCAGACACTGCTGCACCAGTAGTGTCCCCAGCAGGACAATGCTGCAAGATATATTCAGAAGAAAAGCCAACTTCCAGGATTTAATCTCAAACCAACATCCTACCTCACATCTGCTTTTTCTTAGAAAAATGCTTCAGTGGAATGAAACCATGTGATCCTATGGAGCAAATACTGGGGATGGTAGAACGCCCAGAGGTTCAGATACACAAAGGTATGGTTGGGCCGAATCTGAAAACAGGGTGGAGTTACAATTCAACACCTTCAGTTGCTGCCTGACAACACTGGTTCCCAGTGCAGGAATTGATTTTAAAACTTCAGTTCTAGGACCTCTGGCCTCCAAATTCTTTGCTACCCCTGACCTCTCTAGGGAACACTGACTGATCTCATTCTACATGGCAGCTCCCACAATGGTACCTCAAATCCTAGAATGAACATGTGGCAATGCTGGGGTTTTCACCCCCATGTGGGGAGATCTCGACATTCTTCTGGCTGCTGCGGCACTTTAAGAAGGCTCTCTTCCTGCCTACATAGATGCAGGGCAAATCTGTCATGCCAACACAAGAGAGAAGACACCTACCACGGTCTCCAAAATCTGTTTTTGTGGCAGTGTCTAACTGCATGGCAGCAGTCTCTCAAGACACGACACTGATCACCCCAATCCAGTGATGGATTAGCCTGACTCCAGGGTGACTAATCCCATTTGGTGTTGATGCATCCGGGCGGACAGCCCTCTGATCAGCAGGCACCCAATAACTGTGCAGACTGACAACTGCTTGGAAGTGCTCAGAGGAAAGAGAAGGGACTTTAAGAACCCGTACGTTAGGATCCTGAAGCCAGGCACAACCGGAGAACAAGGAGCATTTGTTTCTTTGGGAGACCAGGCAAACTGAGACCCAGAATAGAAAACCAGCTCACTCAAAGTTGCCCAGTCCTTTAGTGCCAAATGTGGGTGGGGCGACTGGGGTTAGAAATCTGAGCTTCCCTCACAAGCTTAGGCCAGCCCTCCTTAACCTGACTCGGCAGAGGGGAGCAGCTGGGGCATCCCACTCCACAGCTCATTTACACCAGGCTCTGGCATTTGTTGTGATGTACATGAAGGTTCAGTAAGTGGATTCATCTTTCTATTTACACTTCACATTTAGGCTAAAATTACAGAGAATAGGTATTTTCTGAGCCCAATCAACAGCTGGCAGAGAAGCTAGCCAGGTGCAGACTCAGGAGAACTGAGAAAGTCAAACTAAAATAAAACCCTTGTTTTAGATAACAGAAACAACAGAAATGGAAAGTATGGGGATTCGGGAACTATGGGCTGGCTCACTTTTGTGGTAAGACGAACCCTCCCAGCCCCGCAAAGCCTCGCTCTGTTCCTGCTGAGGGGAGACATCCCTTGGCCTCTCTCTGGCCTCTGCCCATCGCCCCAGAGCACCACTGGCCTCTGGCAGTCGGTAGAGCTTCATGGTACGCTGCATGGTCATATTTCTGCTCAGGTGGGAGAACTTCACTTCAATCAGCTTCCGTGGGTTTAGTGACCGATGCCAGTACCTGTGGGGACACAAATATCCTGTCCTCAGAGGATTCTGGCCAGTCCCATTAAGAGGACAACAGCAGGGAGACCTTCAAGATGCCCAGCAGGTGGCGTGAGAGACACGTCAGACCACTTGAGCCAGCTGCGTTGCCCGGCTCTCCAGCCTCCCCCGACTAAATGCAAAGCCACCATAGCTCCTCCTAGTTTCTTTCTCCCTGTTTTTCTTTCTCAATTTCAAAAGCCACTCCTTTGTTACAGCAGTTGTCTGGGGAGAGCAATCCTCACTCTTGGAATCAAGTCAGTGGAAAAACTATGCCCAAGATCAGCATGTGTACACCCTCCCCTACCTCCTCTTCTGCCTTCACCTGGGGTTTTTACTTTTTAAAGTTCTCTAGGCAGTAATGCTTTGGGTTGACCATTAGCTCAGTTGGTTAGAGTTTGGTGTTATAACACCAGGGTCAAGGGTTCAGATCCCTGTACTAGCCAGCCGCCAAAAATTAATTAAAAAAATAAAATTCTCTAGGCAGAGATTATTCAATCATTTCAAAAAACCTTCTAAGGCACAGGTTGTCCTTGGATCACATGGTTCAGGCATGCTCTCTTTGGCTCACACAATATTCAAAACAAAATTGAGCCAACCATTTAAAACTTTAGGACATTTCCCATAAAACCCACATTTGGGCTCATCCTTAAAAACAAAAACAAAATCCCCAGCAGATTGACCCCCGCCCCCTGCAATTGGCAGTACTCAGCAGGAACTGCAAATGGCTCCCCTCTGGACAAGGCATACGCTTTCCAGTCTGCCATCCCTAAAGCCATCCCACATCACTCCACACTTCACTCCTGCAGGGGCCAGAGAAGCCAGATGCTCCTGGGCATGCACCGGGCCCAGCGGCAGAGTAGCAACTCACAGCAACATAAGCTCCTCGACTACAGCATGGGTGACAGTATTTCTAGGACCCTGAAGGAAGAGATTTTTACCTGCAGGTGCCAACAGGCTTTGGTAGTACCACCCCAGCAGTGTAAACAGCTTGGAAGATGCCCTCCAGGTGGACCCGTCGGGTTATCTCACGGATCAAGACAGGAGCCACCCTCTTGGAGCGCAGCTTCTTGTGGACACACAGGAAGTTGATCTCCACCATCTTCTTCTCTCTGAAGGGGGAGGAAAAATCCAGGTGACAAAGCTTTTAACAGAGAAGATAGTGGCAATCTCTTCAAGCATGTGGAGCCACACCTGGAGGGACCAGGGTCTTCAGCACAGGTGTGCTTCTGGCCACCACCTGCACTCAGCCGTCGGTACTGGGACTCCCTCCCGCTACTCTGCCAGCCCCTCCCAGGCAAGATGCCTGCCTCACGTCAACACCGGCCCTACTTCTAAAAGAAAGTGGGACTCAAGCAAACACCTTTATTTGAAGGCACCACCACCATCTCCCTGATGAAGTCCCCGTGGTGGGCTGGGGAGTCCCACCTTTAGCATGCAGGGATGTGGCACAGGGAACCCTAGAGCAAGTCAAAGCTATTCTAGAATTTTAAGGGTCTGGTTCCCTCAAGAATAAATAGCCATTAAACCCAGAAGACCGTGGCAGAGGATTCTGACATTTCCAGGGAAAATGAAGAACAGAGATTGTAGACCCCAATAACTACCTGAATCTGGATCACACTGTCTCAGGCCCATTCCTGAAGCCGTTCAAGTAGCATCAACATATGACTGATGCAGGAGAGCAAAAATGAACCCCTGCTGAGTGAGCACCCTGGGCCTCAGGCTGGCACCTTCCAGCCCAGGTCACAGCCATGGGAACCAGCCACCACTCAGAGCAAAAGAGGTGGTTCCTATGAAGAATTTCTCTTCCCTGGGTGTCCTCCCTTTGTGGCACCTTCTCTCTTTCTTTCATGGGGAGTCTGTGTAGCTTTTCTCCTCCCTCCCAGACCAAGCAGGATGGTGGTGCTGTGGGGGTGGGTGCTGGTGCTTACGTGTCATAGATATGGATATTTGCTGGGATGGCACTAATGAACCCAACCAGTTTCCGACTTGAGACCACTCGAACCCCGCAGTGCCACTGGGGAAGCCAGCCGGGTGGCCGGAGAGCCCTGGAAAAGAGACGGGGCTGGGTGGTGGTGCTGCTTGCCAGCAGGCTGAACAAGCTGCTTGGGCTCCACAGACAAGTGTGGTTCTAACCTGGCACCACCACCTCCCTGAGGGTTAATAGCTGAATTCTCCTTAGGGCCAAGCCTTCCAGGACATAAATGGAATCAAGCCATAGCCATTTGTCACTGCTCAGCCCACTTGGCCTACTTACTCACCCAATCCAAGACTGTCACACTGAGGAGTTCATGCCTGGTCGAATTTCTCTGTGTTTATTCTGACACCTTGAACCAGAGGCCTGGCCTCTGCAGTTTGGAGACCAGAAGGTCCTGTGGTTGGAAGCTGACCGTGGCACCCTGAGCTCTGGTCTCTCCCACGTGCCCTCCAGACATCACTCTCCTCTTTCTGCTTGCTCATTCCTCCCTTCCCTCCCCTTTCAGCCTCATGCCTCTACCTTCCTTGATCTTAAATGTGGGCCAGGCAGGCAGACGGCTCAGCCAGGCAAGGCCATTTTCCTACAACTGAGCATGCTCAGGAACTAGACAGAAAATGAACCTTCTTTTCTTTAAATCTTAGTAGGTCTAGTAGGTCTCAATCCACCCCACCCCCTTGTATAAAGTCACCATGATCTTTTCTTCTGGGTACCAATTCTACAAGGTCTCTCTCACCCAGTCTGTTTTAAGTAAGGTTTCAACTCTGAGCTCCACTGAAAGCAAGTCTCCTTCAGATGCAGGAACTCAAAAATTATATACTAAGTTGCCATTCAAAGGCTGGCTCTTGGCCAGGATGAAAACTCTGGGATCCTCTAGCCTTTTCCTCATGAACCATAAGAAATCCCTTACAACTCACCACAACAGAAACTCTGGGGAATAATCAAAGCGGAACATGTTGTCATCATCTTCCACATAGTTCTCATTCAGGAGGGTGTATAGTTCCTTCAGCTGTGGAGAAATAAGGAGCTCATTCAGAGGTATTCAGCCAGCTGGGGGACCGGCTCCAAGCTTTTCAGAAGGACAAGGCAAACTACCAAAAACAATGTCTAATCTCACAAATCTTTTTCACCCCAGACATGGCAGGGACTCTTCTGTAATAAGCACTTTAGCTGTAAGAGGAAACTGAGCCACGAAGGGACAGAGTGGCAGACCCAAGTACATAAAGTGACAGACTAAGAATGTCATCTAACTAACCAACCACTCCATCAATCTGACCTATCAACAACAGAGAGCCACTGGTCTTTGCTTCTGTGAAAACACTTTGGAGAGCTGACTCTTGGGGCTGGTCAAGGAATTACTCTAAGGAGAGTCACTGCCATTTCCTACCATGCCTGGTTTTCATCCTCTGGCCCAAATAAAGGCCTTTTGGCCTTTTTCTGCCTTCCCAGCTGTCTCCATCTGCTGGCCCAAGTTTGGTATTAAAAAATTCTGAAACACATCCGTCAGGTCAAAAGAAAAGGTTCTGGGTGGCTGGGGAGGAAATGGGAGGAAAGATCCTCATTAAGCAGCCCCAGCTCATCAGTCAGGACACAGACTAGAAATAAGAACAGGGAAGCTGAAATAAGGTTTCAGCTCTAACCTCCACTGAAAGCAAGTCTCCTTCAGATGCAGGAACTCAAAAATTATATACTAAATTGCCATTCAAGGGCAAGAATTGGGGCTGTATCTTTTGAGCAGTCCCAAGTGCTCCCACATACTCCCACAGAAGAGGGGCATGCTGTCCAGGGTGGGGATGAAACAAAAAATGAATGGATGAAAAAAGGGTACCCAGGGCCGGCCCGTGGCTCACTCAGGAGAGTGAGGTGCTGATAACACCAAGGCCACGGATTCGGATCCTATATAGGGATGGCCGGTTCGCTCACTGGCTAGGTGTGGTGCTGACAACACCAAGCCAAGGGTTGAGATCCCCTTACTGGTCATCTTTAAAAAAAAAAAAAAAAAAAAGGGTACCCACCTTGGGGAGCTACAGAGCTTAATTCTCAACTGGCCTGAAAAGCCAAGCACTGTTTATATGGTGTCCTGGGCAGGCCCAGGAAGCAACAGATGAGAGTCTGTTCAGAACTCCTTGGCTCAGCCCTCAAGTGAGTCCTTGAGGAGGGCCTGAGGAGACATGGTCGTGGGATGACTGCAGGGTTTACTGTGAAAGTGGTGTCCAACCCACACTTGCAGCCTACTTACCACACCACAGTCCCCCAGGTCCAAGGCATCCCACGTGAAGCCTTGGGGCAGGGTATAGGGCTCTTGGCGAATGTTGTCCTTGTCAGGCTCCACGGGACCGTGGGTGTTCACCACTTCACCTGGAAGAAGAGCACAGCCATGAACCTCACCCTCTGCTTCCTGGGGAGAGAAGGGGCTCAGCTCAAAAACAGACCAGAGTAGGACCGGCCCGTGGCTCACTCGGGAGACTGTGGTGCTGAGAACACCAAGGCCCTAGGTTCGGATCCCATATAGGGATGGCCAGTTGGCTCACTGGCTGAGCGTAGTGCTGACAACACCAAGCCAAGGGTTAAGATCCCTTACCGGTCATCTTTTAAAAAAAACGGACCAGAGTAAATTCCTCCTGTCCCTAGGAGTCCTCCATCTGAAGAACATTCTGTGCTTGGCAAAGTGCAACCATCTCATCAGCTACCCTTGGCCCTAACTGAGGGCCAATTCATGGCAAAACCTAAGCACAGTCACTGGGATCCAAGGTGGTTTGTTTTCTGAAATCCTTTTAAAGCCCCCTTGGGTTACTGAATGACAAACTTTTATCTTCACTAATTTGGCTTCCTGCCTCCTGGTTGGTGTAAAGAGTGTTGTCATGGTCCTGGCCCAGGCCCATCGATCTGGATGGATTTATAAGGAGTTGCAACAAGGTTGCTTTTGTGTCAACAGCAAGAACAATGTACTGGGCCCATTTCTGAACCAGATGATGGCTTCTAGGCGCCAGGCTCAATCTTGGCCCTGCCAGCCTTGGCTTTCAACAGCATGGGCCAGTTAACTGCTACTGCCAGTTCTTAGGCTGAATCACCAAGTGTACACAATGCTGCCAGGAAGCTACCCTCAGCCACAGCATCCCCACCCTGGACAGCATGCTCCTCTTCTGTGGGAGTATATGGGAGAGCTCAGAAGATACAGCCCCAAGTCCTGCCCACAGCTAAATCATCTGATAAACTTGGACAAATTAGCCACTTAATTTTGGCCCTTGGAATTACTTTAGTTTCTACAATTCATTCATGTTCACACACAGAAGAATGCAATGTTTAGTGCATTTTAAAAACCGAGTCTTCAAAAGGGACCCAATCAGTATAGTGCTCCTACCACAGGGCTCTGTAAACACCAGGCACTCACTCATGCTTTTACTGATTTTCAGACTCCTAACCCAAATTTTTCATTCTAATGTACAACAGGCAGCTCTACACCCTCCCAGAATGGGTCTGTGGGGCAAGTGTAGTGGAAATGGCTATAGCAGGCTTCAGCTAAGGACAAGGCCACCAGGACTAGCGTTGCACTCTCTTCTATTTGACATGTTTACTGAACACCAACCGTGCCATCAGTGACCATGACAGATGCTAGGATACAGCAGGGAAAAGACCAGGTCCCTGTCCTCACAATATATACCATCTTCTGGAGAAACAGTCAATAAATGAGTCACTACCAACATGCTAAGGGTCAATAACTGAAAAGAGCACAATATAGGGACAAAGGGGACATACAGCAGGGGAGCATCTAGCTACATCTACTTATAATCTGGCTCCCCAACAGATTTGCTTGGGAGAGAGGTCATACTTTTCTTCCCTAGTTAAGAAACAGATCTTTTGTTTATTCATAAAGTAGCCCTTGTGAATTAGTTTAATATAAGTCAATCTGCTTCCAATTCACTACTATGTATATAAAAAAATGTTTTTTTCTTTAGCCTACAAAGTCAAGGGCCAGACCCTTGGAAAGCACCAAGGATTTCTGCTCTAGTCTTATCTAAGTGCTAGTCAATTCCCTGTCTTGTACTGAATTTATACCTTTTCTAAAACATGCTTTAAAACCTTTTTGCAGGGCCGGCCCGTGGCTCACTCGGGAGAGTGCGGTGCTGATAACACCAAGGCCCCGGGTTCGGATCCTATATAGGGATGGCCGGTTCGCTCACTGGCTGAGCGTGGTGCTGACAACACCAAGTCAGGGGTTAAGATCCCCTTACCGGTCATCTTTTTTAAAAAAAAAAAAACCTTTTTGCAATTATTTTTTTCCTAAATGATGTCCATGACAAAGAATACTGGTGGTCTTCCCTACTATGTTACAATAATATCAAGACTAAATCTTCTCTTTTAGGCAGGTTAGGAGATCTACAGGCAACAGGCATTTCTTTTTCTTTTCTTTTTTTTGATCTTAACCCTTGACTTGGTGTTGTCAGCACCGCGCTCTCCCAAGTGAGCTAACCGGCCATCCCTATATAGGGATCCGAACCCGTGGCCTTGGTGTTATCAGCACCCACTCTCCCAAGTCAGCCACAGGCCGGCCCCCAACAGGCATTTCCATTCACTCACTCCTTTCCAAGTGCTCCTGAACCCTAGAATGTGCCAGCAGCTGGTAAGTGAAATGGACACAAGTCCTCACCATCATGGACATCAACAGACACACAAGCAGGTACCTACTGCCCAGCATGACGAGGGCCTATGAGAATGAAGTAAGGAGTGCTATAGAACCGGCTATGTGTGTGTGTGTGCACATGCGTGTGCATAAAGACTGCTCAGAGGCAATATCTAAAGCCAAGACATCAAAGATCATTAGGAATCAGCCAGGCTGGAGGTGGAATGCATGGGGCAGGAAGGGTATGTGCACAGAGGAAACAGTATATGTAAAGCCCTGGAGATGAAAGGCAGGAACTAAAATTAGAAGAAAGCTGGGGCCCATCATGGACGGCCTTGCAAACGATACTACACGGCAGGACTGTATCCTATGGGATATCCTTAATGGGCTTTTAAGGGGTGGGCAGAGATGACATCTTCAGATTTGCGGTTTACAAAGAGCTCTCAGTAAGTGCTTATGAACTAACATTACTGAATAAAACTTTTACATGATATTCAAACTGTAAGTCTTTATCTTTTCAGAAACCAGCTCTCATAGGTTACCAAGTCTGATATATGCAAAATACAGGAGACATTAAGAAAGTAGCAGCCACTTGGAATCCACTCCTACTCTGGGGTGCCAAGGAAGCTGAGAAACAGCCCAAGGCTCCTGCACTGTCCTTCCCAGCACCCAGCATCATGGCTTCTGCCTGTCCTAGTGTGTGGGGAGCAGCCTGCCCTCCAGCTTATAATGGCTCTTGAGCATCTCCTGCTGAGCAGGTGTGGGAAGGCTGCTCTGCAGAGTATGGCAAGCATACAGCCACTTATCTTTAGGCCACCATGAACCAGTCAGAAAATGACAGAGGAGGACATTTGGAACTTGCTTTATTTATTTATTTATTTTTTTGTCCTTTTTGAGACCGGCCGCACCGCGCTCAGCCAGTGAGTACTGTGAGCACACCAGTCATCCCTATATAGGATCTGAACCCGTGGCGGGAGCGCTGCTGCGCTCCCAGTGCCATACTCTCTTGAGTGCGCCATGGGCTCAGCCCTGGAACTTGCTTTAAAACAACTTGGAACTTTAGAAGAAAACCCTGGGGCCGGCCTGTGGCTCACTCGGTAGAGTGCGGTGCTGATAACACCAAGGCCACGGGTTCGGATCCCATATAGGGATGGCCGGTTCGCTCACTGGCTGAGCGTGGTGCTGACAACACCAAGTCGAGGGTTAAGATCCCCTTACCGGTCATCTTTTATGAAAAAAAAAAAAAGAAAAAAGAAAACCCTGGAGTTTAATGAGTTTCTTTCTGTACACTCTTCCCCCCAAATTCAAAGACCCATAACTAAGCACTGTTGTGTAACTGCGAAGGACTTAAGAGAAAAGAATGTCTGTGAATTGGGAGGCATTAAGCCAAATGAACAGGACAAGAGAGAGGGAGAAGAGAGGGGAAGCTTCTCTCTCTGTTGCACAGAAACGAAGTGTGACTCTATATTCTCCCTCTGATAGTTACTTTTAAAACTAATCTGAGTAGTCAGATTCCAAATCACTGAGCAGAGGCAAAACAGGATCCCGCTCCCCTCTACAAGAGTGAGAGAAGGGATGACTTTAAAAAGAAGAATGAGGGTCGGCCCATGGCTCACTCGGGAGAGTGCGGTGCTGATAACACCAAGGCCCCGGGTTTGGATCCCATATAGGGATGGCCGGTTAGCTCACTTGGGAGAGCGTGGTGCTGACAACACCAAGTCAAGGGCTAAGATCCCCTTACCAGTCATCTCTAAAAAAAAAAAAAATAATAAAATAAAATAAAAAATAAAAAGAATGACATGATCTGAAAAGGGGAATAAAAGTTCATCTAGGGGTACACACAATTGTTAAACAAAATAAAACATTTATTTCAAAGGCCATTCAATGGTAAACTTAGGATGATTTTAAACTTCTAAAGGCTGGTTGGTTAGCTCATTTGGTTAGAGTGTGGTATTATAACACCCACGT